AACAAGTCACTGCCTCATCAAAGTTTGTCTTTTTTTCTACTAGCTGCCATCATGTTTACTTAAGTACATATAAACTAGAGCTCAAGCCAAAGAGTATAAATCTTTAAAAGAAAAAGAGAAGTATGCAAAGCAAATATTTCTTTATCTTGGATACAGAACTCTGTTGAATCAGTTTCTGTACAGTTCATGCTGGAAGAGAGAAGAGAGATTATTGAATTCAATCAATTTCCATAAGGAGTCTGGCGTTTGGAGATGAGGCATCAAGTTTATCTACAAATCTGACTTTCAATCAAGAAAATGGCACATCTATTCATTCCATATTTTGCAGGGGCCCGCCCCACAAGGGTCGTGGGAAGTGTTGAAGGAGAGACGGATAGGCGAATGATGATCATATACTGGACACCTGCTTCTTGAACAGATGACAATTTAATGCTAGTTAACACAAAGCTTTTATACCATTTTTGAAGGGGCAAGACAAAGAAAATTCTTTCACATACATATCTTTTAAAAGTTACCAGCTAGTGGTCTTAGTAGCGAACAAACCAAGATTCTCATAGGCATTTAGACAACGTCTTATTCATAAAGCCAACAATGACACTCTCAGTTTAATGTCCCAAATTACAAATGTTTCAAGAAAGTTTCTTTAAGTGTATATTTCTTTATGTGTCAGGAATATTCTCATCTTAGGCTCTTATGTTCTTCAGAGTCCTGTGATCGCCTCCCTTGTCCAGATGTCCTTGTTACTTTTCTCTTATCTTGCAGTGCTTGTTTCTAAAGAGAACTCAAAAGAAACTTTTAGTAATGTTTCCCAGGCCCCTCAAGGTTGCTTTCTGTTTTAACTGATCTTGTCATAAAAGTGTCTGATTATTATATTATGAGTTTAGTGAAAACCTACTCTATAAATGTTAATTTAGAGTTATAAGTTTATAGTTTTAATTATAGAATCAAGTAAAAACCTTAACATTAATCTTTTATCCTAAGTTAGTGAAAACAGTGTTATAAATCCTACATAGCTTCTAGATAAGTGTTAGAACTTATAATGAATTCATAATGAACTACTATAAACTTGTGTTTCTAAAAATCCTTATGTCTAAACACTAAACTGCATAATCCTAAATCAAATAAGGAGTGAATATACTTATATCATTTATACTTAAGCAATATCTAGTAACTTATAACCAAGTGAAAGAAAGCATTCTCGATGTGCTTCAGAGTTTAACCTTTGCATATGTTAGAAAAGGCCAAGTGGCATAGTGGGAAAAATGGAAAAATAAACCATGATATTTCCAGGTTAGCTGTGATTCTTCGCATAAACATGCCATCTTCTTCTTTCATGACTGCACAGAATTTCTTCAGCTGTATCAACAGCAAAGATGGAAGACAGAAAGGCCTCAGCTGCCCGGACTCGCTTTGTGGCCGGGGGTCCTCAGCGCACCTGGACTTTGCCATCAGGCGGGCCTCCAAGGCTGGCTCCCAACACAATATGAGTACCTTTTCTCTTGAGAACCATATGAGACTGGAGCAATGACAGTCCACAGAGGCTCTAAGCCTGGTGTTTGATGATGTCCATGGTCTCCTCAAAACTCCGGGAGAAGAGGATCTTGTCGAGCATGAGAGAAACTAGAGAGGCAGGCCATGAATACATGCTAAAGCATTCTTTCGCCCAACTTGTGCCAGACAATGGTCTTAGTTGCACATTTTCTTAGGAATCAGGGAATGTGGAATGGTGATGCAAACAAGAAGAGAGGGCTTCAGTCATATTGAAAAGGCATACAACAAAGAAGTAGATATATTATCCACTTGTGAATTCATGAACACTCTTAAAAGCTCAAGCGGTGAAAACTCACTGATAAAAAGCAGCAGGCTAGATACAAACATTCCAAATATTCCACAAGAAACCCAACTATTACATTGTAGACCTATTCATTACTTGGCATGTGAGAGGACATGCATCCAATATGTATCACCCTGAACCCTGGTATGCAGTGTTCTTTGGATCCTAAACCATGGGATCACACACTTGGTCAGAAAAAAGAGTTCCCAACTGACAGGTATTGTCTCATCAGGATGTATTTGTAAGAAATGTCTGTTGAAAGAGGCCTCCCAGTGGAAGCATCAGTTTCCTCTTTGACATGCCTTTTTTGACTCTTCTTCTGCCCGAAACTGGCCTGGAAATGAGCTGCTATCCCCAAAACAAACGGCTGTAATGATGTGAATGGCCACGGATCCTCTGGAATTGAAACATTCTCCCAAACGCTGTTCCTGGTTGACTTGTGGTGAGCATATGACTGTCCTTGCTACATATACGGAATTGGCAGATACTTTTGTTGGGCCAATGATGAGTACTTTATATTGCCCTGAGGAGCGGTGATGACTTAAATATCAAGTACAATGGCATGACGCTGAGGCCCAGCCTAGAAGACAGTTGTGCAATCCAACATGGGGAAAATGATGATGGTCCCTTCGGTACAATCTAGTTTGGTGCTGGAGGACTTGAATACAGGAGGACATCTTGTGGAGCATGTAGCTATGCTACTCCATAAAATTCTCCGTTTTTTTAATACTTTAATCCTGAACCCAGGTACTGGACATTTTAGCATCCCTTGCTGATCACCACATCACACTTTCTATCTTTTAGTGGAAAATTCTGCTCAGAATGGCTGCATGGCATGCACCGTCATAAAGGAGTGCCTGACTTTGATTGGTTGTCTGGAACAATGTAGTACCAATCACTGAGGTTCATATTCAAGAATGTTTTCTTGATCTGGGAGGCAAGCTGGACCTTCAGCAATTCATTCAGTTGTCCTCTCAAGGCATTGTTGAAACAGGACAAAAAGGCACTTTGAGATAATCTTGGCATGCTGTTCTAGGAGCCCCATGCCTCTTTTTCAAATGGAGAGTGAATAAACTTTGTTTTGCTCTAATGAAATAGAGATTCATTCTTGTTTAATAATAATCAATGTATCTGTGGCTCACTATGTGAATGACCATGTCCTCTGTTGCACCCTCTCTGGAAACTTAGAGAGGTTTGAATGGTGGCACAGAGCACAGAGAATTCACTGCTCTGCTGATGTGAGGGGGCACACAACTCAAAAATTACTGTCCAAAATTTTTCCTTCCACCGCCTTTCTTCAGAACTCAAGAGATGGGAACACACAGGTTAAATTCCTGGCAAAAACTTCATAACCAAGCTTTGGTATGGAATTCCATCTTTGAGAATGAGGCACTCTTTCCCACCTGAGATACTAAGGGAGGCATCTACAAGCTGTATCAAAAGTACTGAACCTGGACTTGACTCCATTCATGAAGGAACTTCTGTCTCAGCCTACAGGAAAGACTCCACATGAGTAGGTTTCTAATTTCATCATTATGTGGATGAATCGAGTATATGAGACAGTAAAATTAGGGAGGTAGTAGACAGCTTGTTCACACAAGCTGTCCTCCTCTTTTTCACAGGTTCCTTTCTTCAGAGAACTCCTTGGGAATAACTGTTCATCTCTGAATGAAGGATGTCACCCAGGTGCCTGACCTCATTTCCTCACAAAATCAAATAGTCTCCAGTAATCTGGTCACTTTCATTTATTTGTGGTGAGGCTAGGGGCCTCTTTCAAAAGGAGGCAGCAAAGGAGGATGCTTAACTGGGTCAGCGATGAAATCTTTGTCTTTTATCTAGAGAGGTGTTGTCTTAAAAGTCTCGCACAATAGAGTTACACTGAGGACAATCTTAGGTGACAGGTGTGCAAACTGACTTGAGCTTCAGGATTGCCCTCACATTGCTCTAGTGGTGGAGCACTATAAGCCGGATGGGCTATCCAGGGGTGCTCCATCCTGAGGAAGTACTTCTCCATGAAATAGGCAAATTTTATTGCAATGTCTTGGCTCCTGTCACAAAAGCTGGGCACTTTAACCACACCTTCCATACCACAAATTGTCTCTTTGTGTCTCTCAAAGAAATATTCTGCCCACGCTGGATGGATGGCATGCACTATGCTATGAGAGAGCATGACTGGGATTGGGAGTCATCACCATCATTCACTAGTCTCTGTGGGCCTCTTAGGCAGGGGACTCTCAATTCTGGAAGCAAAATGATTCTGAACCAATATGAGTACCTTTTCTGTTGAGAACCATATGAGGCTGGAGCAATGAGAGTCCACAAATGCTCTAAGCCTGGTGTTTGATGATGTTCATCATTTCCTCTAAACTCAGGGAGAACAGGATATTATTGAGCATGAGAGAAACTAGATAGACAGGCAATGAATACATGCTAAAGCATTCTTTCGCTCAACTTGTGCCAGACGATGGCCTTAGTTGCACATCTTCTTAGTAATCAGGGAATATGGAAGGATAATGCAGACAAGAAGAAAGGGCTCCAGTCATATGGAGAGAGACACAAACTAAGAAGTAGATATGATATCCACTTGTGAATTCATGAACACTCTTGAAAGCTCAAGCGGTGAAAACTCAGTGATTAAATGCAATAGGCTAGAAACAAACATTCCAAATATTGCACAAGAAACCCAATTATTACACTGTAGACTGCTTCATTATTTGTGATATGAGAGGACACGCATCCAATATGTATAACCCTGAACCCTGGTTTACTGTGCTCTTTGGATCCTGATCCATGGGGATCGCACACTTTGCCAGAAAAAAGAGGTCCCAACTAATATATATTGTCTTGTCATGATGTCTTTGGAAGAAAGTTCTGTGGGAAGAGGCCTCCCAGTGGAAGTATCAGTTTCCTCTCTGACATACCTTTTTTGACTCCTCTTCTGCCAGAAACTGGCCTGGAAATAAGATGCCATCCCAAAACAAAGGACTGTAACATGGTGGATGGCCTTGAATCCTCTGAAAATGAAATATTCTCCCAAATGCTGTTGCTAGTTGACTTGTGGTGAGCATATGTCTGTCCTTGCTACATATATGGGATTGGCAGATACTTTTGTTGGGTCAATGATGAGTACTTAATATTGCCTTGAGAATTGGTGATGACTTGAATAGCATGTACAATGGCATGATGCTGAGGCCCAGCCTATAAACCAGTTGTGGAAACCAACATACAGAAAATAATGATGGTTCCTTCGAAATGATCGAGTTTGGTGCTGGAGATCTTGAAGTACGGGGGCCATTTTGTGAAGAATGTGGATATGCTCCTCCTTAAAATTCCCCATTTTATCCTATACTTTAATCCTTATTCCAGGTCCTACGTATTTTAGAATCCGCTGAACACCAAAACTCACTTTGTGTCTTTCAGTGGCACATTCTCAGAATGGCTGCATGGCATGCACCATCATAGAGGAATGCATCACTTCAATTGTTTGTCATGACCAATGTTTTACCAGTCACCGAGGGTCAACAATCAACGGGGTGTTCTTGGACTTGGAGGCAAGCTGGACCTGAACCAATGCATGCAGTTTTTCTCTGGAGGCCTGGGTGAAACTGGACAAAAAGGTGCCATGAGATGCTCCTGGCATGCTGTTCTAGGATGCCCTTCTTCTTTTCCAAATGGAGTGTAAATAGACTTTTGTCTTTCTCTAAGGAAAAGGGAGATTCAGCCTTGTTTAATAATAGTAAATGTATCTGTGGCTCACGATATGAATGGCCACGTCCTCAGCTGGGCGCCTTCTGGTAACTTAGAGAGCTGGGAATGGAGACACAGAGCAAAGAGAATCCACTGGTCTCCTGGTGAGAGTGGTAAACTAGTCAATAATGACTATCTAACATTTTTCAAATCATCACCTTTCTTCAGAACTCAAGATATGAGAATACACACAGGTGAAACTCCTGGCCAAATACCCCATATTCAAGCTTTGCTACAGAAATCCATCTTTAAGAATGAGGAACTCTTTCCTACCTGAGATACGAAGGGAGGCATGACCAAGCTGTATCAAAAGTACCCTGTCTGCTCTTGACTCCATTCATGGAGGAACTTCTGTCTCAGACTACTGGACGGATTCCACATGAGCAGGTATCTCATTTCATCACTATGTGGATGAACCAATTGTATGACACAGCAAAATTAGGGAGGCAGCAAAGAGCTTGTTCAATCAAGCTGTCCTCCTCTGTTTCACAGGGATCCCTTCTTCAGAGAACCCTTGCAAATTACCGTTAGTCTCTGGATGAAAGATGCCACCCAGTTGCCTAGACTCATTTCCTCAGAAAGTCAAACAATCTCCAGTAATCTGGTCGCATTTTGTTAATTTTGGTGAGCCTATGAGCCTCTTTCAAAAGGAAGCAGCAAAGGAGGATGCCTAGCTGGGTCAATGATGAAAACTTTGCCTTGTCTCTAGAAAGGTGTGGTCTTAAAAGTCTTGTACAATAGAGTTACGCTGAGGGCTGTCTCATGTGGTAGGTGTGCAAACTGACGTCAGCCTGAGGATGGCCCTGACATTGCTCTAGTTGTGGAGCACTCTAAGCTGGAAAGGCTATCCAGGGATGCTCAGCCCTAAGGAAGCACTCCTCCATGAAATAGGCTAATTCGATTGTAATGTCTTGACCCGTTCACAAAAGCCAGGCACTTTAGCAACCCCTTCCTTACCAAAAATTCTCTCATTGTGTCTCTCAATGATATATTTGCCCACGCTTGATGGATGGCATGCACCATGCTGGGGAAGAGCATGGCTGGAATTGGGAGTCATGACCATCATTCATAAGTTTCTGTGGGCCATTTAGGCATGGGAACTCTCAGTTCTGGAGCCAAATTGAACTCTGAACCAATATGAGTACCTTTTCTCCTGTGACATGTAAGAGACTGGAGCAAAGAGAGCCCACAGATGCTCTAAACCTGGTGTTTGATGATGTCCAGGGTCTCCCATAAACTCAGGGAGAAGAGGATTTTGACGAGCATGAGAGAAACTGGAGAGGCAGGCTCATGAATACATGCTAAAGCATTCTTTTGCTCAATTTGTGCGAGATGATGGCCTTAGATGCACATCTTCTGAGGAATCAGGGAATGTGGAATGGTGATGAAAACAAGTAAAGGGTACTGCCATCATGTTGAGAGTGGACACAAATTAAGAAGTAGATATGATGTCCACTTGTCAATTCATAAACCCTCTAGAAAACTCAAACTGATTACAAGCAGCAGGTTAGATTCAAACATTCCAAATATTGCTCAAGAAACCTAATTATTACACTGTAGACCACTTTATAACTTTAGATATGAGAGGACACGCATCCAATATGTATTACCCTGAACCCTGTTTATGCTGTGTTCTTTGGCTCCTGAGCCATGAGGATCACCAGACGTTGCCCAAAAACAGAGTTCCCAACTGAAATGTTTTGTCTCCTCTGGATGTATTTGAAAGAAATGTCGTGGGAGGAGGCCTCCCATTGGAAGTATCAGTTTCCTTTTTGACACACCATCTTTGACTCATTTTCTCCCAGAAGCTGGCCTGGAAATAAGCTACTATCTGAAAAACAAAGGGCTGTAATGAGGTGGCTGGCCACGGATTCTCTGAAAATGAAATATTCTCCCATACGCTGTTGTTGGTTGACTTGTGGTGAGCATATGACTCTCCTTGCTACATATATGGGATTGGAGGATACTGGTTTTGGGTCCATGATGTGTACTTTATGTTGCCTTGAGAAGCGATGATGACTTAAATTTCACGTACAATGGTATGATGCTGAGGCCCAGCCTTGGAGACAGTTGTGGAAACCAACATGAGGAAAATGATGATGATCCCTTCTGTACGATTGAGTTTGGTGCTTGAGAACTTGAAGTACCAGAGGCCATCATGTGGAGCTTGTGGATATGCTCCTCCATAAAAATTTCCCATGTTATCCTTATACTTTAATCATTATCCCAGTTCCTGGGCATTTTAGCATTCGCTGAGCACCACAACTCACTTTGTGACTTTTAGTGGAAAATTCTTTTCAGAATGGCTGCATGGCATGAACTGTCATAAAGGAGTGATTGACTTCGATTGGTTGTCATGACCAATGGTTTACCAGTCACTGAGGGTCATCAATCAAGGGGGTGTTTCAGGTCTTGGAGGCATGCTGCACCTGAACCAATGTGTGCAGCTTTTCTCTCAAGCAATGGTTGAAACTGGACAAAAAGGCACCTTGAGATGATCTTGGCATGTTGTTCTAGGATGCTCATGCTTCTTTTCCAAATGGAGGGTAAATAGACTTTTGTCCTGCTCTAAGGAAAAGAGAGAATGAGCTTTGTTTAATAATAGTCAATGTATCTGTGGCTCATGATGTGAATGACCATGTCCTCAGCTGGGCACCTTCTGGTAACTTAGTTCAGAATGGTATCACAGAGCAAAGAGAATCCACTGGTCTCCTGGTGAGAGGGGGCACACAAGTCAATAATGCCTCTCAAACATTTTCCAACCTCCACCTTTCTTCATAACTCAAGATATAAGAACACCCACAGGTGAAATCCCTGGCAAAATGCCCCATAATCAAGCTTTGCTATGGAATCAATCTTTGAGAATGAGGAATTCTTGGCCACCTGAGATATGAAGGAAGACATGTACAAGCTGTATAAAAAGTACCCTGTCTGGGCTTGACTTCAATCATGGAGGAACTTCTGTCTCAGTCTACTGGATGGATTACACATGAGCAGGCATCTAATTTCAACATTATGTGGATAAACCGATTGTATGAGACAGCAAAATTAGGTAAGTAGTAGACAGCTTGCTCATTCAAGCTGTACTCTTCCTTTTCACAGGGAATTCTTCTTCAGAGAAGTCCTTGGGAGTAACTGTTAATGTGTGGATGAAGGACATCACACAGGTGCCGGGACTCATTTCCTCAGAAAGTCAGTCTCCCATAATCTAGTCGCATTTGGTTACTTGTGGTGAGCCTACGGGTCTCTTTAAAAGTATGTAGTAAAGGAGGATGCCTAGCTGGGTCAATGATGAAATCTTTGCATTGTCTCTAGAGAGGTGTTGTGTTAAATCTTGCACAACAGACTTACACTGAAGTCCTTCTTTCGTGACAGGTGTGCATACTGACATCAGACTGAGGATGGCTTTGACATTGCTCTAGTGGTGGAGCACTCTAAGCCAGAGAGGTTACCCAGGGTTTCTCAACCCTGAGTAAGCATTCCTCCACAAAATAGGCAAATTCAATTGTAATGTCTTCAGCCCTTTCACAGAAGTTGGGCACTTTAACAACCCCTTCCATAACACAAAATCTCTCTGTGTCTCTCAATACAATATTCTGCCCACACTGGATGGATGGCATGCACCATGCTAGGGGAGATCATGGTTGGAATTGGAAGTCATGACCATCATTAATAAGTTCCTGTGAGCCACATAGGCATGGGAACTCTCAGTTCTGGAGGCAAACTGAACACTGAATCAACATGAGTACCTTTTCTCTTGTGACCCATATGAGACTAGAGAAAAGAGTCCACAGATGTTCTAAACCTGGCATTTGATGATGTCCAGGGTCTCCTCTAAACTCAGGGAGAAGAGGATTATGTCGAGAAAAAGAGAAACTGAAGAGGCAGGCTCATGAATATATGCTAAAGCATTTTTTGATCAATTTGTGCCACACAATGGCCTTAGTTGCTTATCTTCTGAGGAATCAGGGAATGGGGAATGGTGACTCAAAAAAATACAGGGTGCTGCAGTCATGTTGAGGGGGACACAAGCTAAGAGGTAGATATGATATCCACTTGTGAAGTCATCATCACTCTTGAAAGCTCAAGTGGTGAAAACTTGCTGATTACAAGCAGTAGGCTAGATTCAAACATTCCAAATATAGCTATAAGAAACCCAATTATTACACTGTAGACCGTTTTATAACTTGAGATATGAGAGGACACGCATCCAATATGTGTCACCCTGAACCCTGGGTATGCTGTGTTCTTTGGATCCTGAACCTTGGGTATCACAGACTTTGCCCAAAAATAGATGTCCCAACTGAAATGTATTGTCTCGTCTGGATGCATTTGGAAGAAAGGTCTGTGGGAAGTGGCCTCCCAGTGGAAGTATCAGTTTCATCTCTGATACGCCTTTTTTATACCTTTTCTCTCAGAAGCTGGCCTGGAAATAAGCTGCATTTCCAAAATCAAAGGGCTGTAACAAGGTGGCTGGCGATGTATCCTCTGTAATTAAAATATTCTCCCAAATGCTGTTCTTTGTTGACTTGTGGTGAACAGATGATTGTACTTGCTACATATATGGGATTGGTGGATACTCTTATTGGGTCAATGATGAGTACTTTATATTACCTTGAGGAGGGTTGATGGCTTATGTGTCACGTACAATGGCATGACACTGAGGAACAGCCTAGAAAACAGTTGTGGAAACCAACATGGGGAAAATGATGACCATCCCTTCAGGACGATCTAGTTTGGTGCTGGAAACTTGAAGTATGGGAGGCCATCTTGTGGAGCATGTGGATATGCTCCTCCATAATTAAAGTTATCCTTATACTTTAATCCTCATCCCAGTTCCTGGGCATTTTAGCATCCCTTGCTGATCACCACATCACACTTTGTGTCTGTCAGTAGAAAATTCTGCTCAGAATGGCTGCATGGCATGCACCATAATATAGCAGTGCATGACTTCGTTTGGTTGTCATGACCAGTGTTTTACCAGTCACTGAAGGTCATCTCTCAAGGAGATGTTTTTGGTCTTGGAGGCAAGCTTGTCCTTCACCAATGTGTTCAGTTTTTCTCACAAGGCATGGATGAAACTGGACAAAAAGGTGCCTTGAGATTCTCTTGGCATGCTATTCTAGGAGGCCCATGCTTCTTTTACAAATGGAGGGTAAATTCACTTTTGTCCTGCTCTAAAGAAAGAGAGATTCAGGCTTGTTTAATAATAGTCAGTGCATCTTTGGCTGACGATGTGAATGTCTGTGTCCTCTGTTGGGTACCTTCTGGAAACTGAGAGAGTTTGGAATGGTGGCAAAGAGTAAAGAGAATCCACTGGTCTGCTGGTGAGAGGGGCACACAAGTCAAAAATGACTGTCCAATATTTTCAAAACCACTACCTTTCTTCAGAACTCAAGATTTTAGAAAACACAAGTTAAACCCCTGGCAAAATGTCATAACCATGCGTTGCTATGGAAATCCATCTTTGAGAATGAGGAACTCTTTCACACCTGAGATATGAAGGGAGGCATATCCAAGCTGTATCAAAAGTACCCTGTCTGGACTTGACTCTATTCATGGACAAACTTCTGTCTCAGCCTAAATAATGCATTCCACATGATCAGATATCTAATTTCATCATTGTGTGGATGATTGATTATATGGGACAGCAAAATTAGGGAGGTAGTAGACAACTTGTTTACTCAAACTGTCCTCCTCCTTTTCACGGGGATCCCTTCTTCAGAGAAATCATTGGGGATCACTGTTAGTCTCTGGACGAAAGATGTCACCCAATTGACTGTCATTATTTCCTCTGAAAGTCAAATAATCTCCAGTAATCTAGTCGCATTTGTTTACTTGTGGTGAGGCTATGGTCCTCCTTCAAAAGGAGGCAGTAAAGGAGGATGCCTAGCTGGGTCAATGATGAAATCAATGCCTTGTCTCTAGAGAGGTGTTGTCTTAAAACTCTTGCCCAATCGTGTTATGCTGAGGACCTTCTTATGTGAAAGATGTGCAAATTGATATGAGATTGAGGATGGCCCTAACATTGCTCTAGTTGTAGAGCACTAAGTATGAGAGGCTATCCATGGGTGCTCAGTGCTGAGGAAGCACTCCTCCATGAAATAGGCAAACTCGGTTGTAATGTCTTCATCCCTTTCCAAAAAGCTGGGCACTTTAATAACCCCTTCTTTACCACAAATTTTCTCTTTGTGTCTCTCAATACAATATTCTGCCCATGCTGGATGGATGGCATGAACCATGCTTGGGGAGGGCAGGGCTGGGATTGGGAATCATGACCATCATTCATAATTTCCTGTGGCCCATTTAAACATGAGAACACTCAGTTCTGGAGCCAAACTGAACACCGAACCAATATGAGTACCTTTTCTCTTGAGACCCATATGAGAGTGGATCAATGAGAGCACACAGATGCTCTAAGTCTTGTGTTTGATGATATCCAGGGTCTCCCCTAAAATCAGGGAGAAGAGGATTTTGTCGAGCATGAGAGAAACTGGAGAGCCAAGTTCATGAATACATGCTAAAGCATTCTTTCGCTCAACTTGTTCAAACGACGTCCTTAATTGCATATCTTCTGAGGAATCAGGGAATGGGGAATGGTGACGCAAACATGCTGAGGGTGCTGCAGTCATATTGAGAGGGGACACAAACTAAGAAATAGATATGATATCCACTTGTGAATTCATCAACCCTCTTGAAAGCTCAAGTGGTGAAAACTCACTGATTAAAAGCAGCAAGTTAGACTCAAACATTCCAAATATTGCTCCAGAAATCCAATTATGATGCAGAACTGCTCACCCCATGCATGGCAAGAACAGGTCTCCTCCATGTGGAACTCTGTCTAGAAAACACATAGCCCCCTGCTCACTGCCAGCTGCACTGGTATGAGGCCTGGGAGACTTTGGTCCAATGCAGGGCCAGATACTGCAGCCCCAGTTGCAGCTGCTCCACTATTTGTGACCCCCACCTGATCAGGAGTCCTGGATCTCAGCTCCCTCCCTGGCTACATCGTCTCATGAAGCACTCAGCACCAAACTGCCAGTCACCCAAGGATGCTCCTGGTGCCCGCCCCTCAGAGATACCGGTCCCATTTCTGGCTGAAGTGCCCTGTGAGGGACCCAGGGCCATCACCTGCCCTTTGGAGCTTTGGAGCTCTGGAGCCCCAGGCCCACCCTGGCTGAGGCACTCAGCATGCGACCTCAAGCTTGCATAAGTGAGCAGAACCCCAAGCTTGTGTAAGGTGCTGATCGGAGGGAATGCCTGACCCTCTCCTCCACCCCAGCCTACAGGTGACACCCTGGATCCAGCACCCAGCTGTGTAGCTGATCCCACCCAGAGACCCAGACAAGCATTCCTAAAAGTGAAAGTGAAAGAACCTCCACCTCGATTCCCACAGTGATGTCATTAAACAGGAGACAAAGCCCCTCCCCTATGATGAACAGACTGAGACAACTATGAGTCACAGACCTCCCAGGCAGCAGGATAGCCACTAAGGAAAGATTACAGAACTAGTATGATCTCCTCTTTTGACCTTTGGTTTTATCATTCTGACTGAATATTTTGCTCACTATTGTTTGCTTTCGAACTTACACTATCAGTTTCACAATCTTATTGGTCTCTCTGTGTAGCTACCAGTATTCTTTACGGAATTTTCCTTCTGTGCTTTTTTTTCCACCGCTCTCCGGCCTTGTGTCTCTTTTTCACCTGTTCGTTGTTATGTATGTCTGTTTTCCCTCTCACTCTTCTCCTTTCTAACTTCCTATTGACCCCCCTTCCTCCATATTTTCCTCTTTTATACCTCCTTTTGCTCCAGGGATGAGAGAAAAATCTACACAAATGAAGAAAAACCAAAAGAAGAATATGGGTCTCTCCAGACCCCTGGGAGGGCAGACACTGAGATAACTGACTTCGAATGCAAACAATGAAGAGCCCCCAGAATGACGGGTCTCAAACTATAAACCTAGATATCAAGACATTAATGGAGAGATTGGAAAGAATTGAGGAGACTCAAGAAGAAACTAGAAAGGAGTTGATATATGAGATAAGAGTAAT